CATCCATTCACAGTGCGTGAAGAGCAAGGCACTGAATTCCCATTCTAAATGGGAAAATCTCAGAGTCAGAGAAACTGTCCAGGACTTTCTATGCAGAAGAGACAGAGTCTCCTCCTCCACCCTACCCAAGGCAGGAAAAAGAAAAGAAAGAAAAAAGAAAAAGATTGCCCTGGGTAAGCCTGTCTGCATATACAAAAGCCCTAAAATAAAAGGGGAGAAAAATCATGGAAAACCAAACCGAAAGGAAACCTAGAAGTTCAGCTGCTCAATCTGATTTCCCTTTTCCTAACAGCCATGGAGGGAGCAGACCATTACCTCTGCACATACTATCACCTTTGTTTCCTGGCTAGAGAAAACGTCCCAGCCAGCATAGGAACATTTGCTCAGGGAGTAAGAAATAAATATTTACAATTAGCTGGGATTTCCAGTTTTTGGGCACTGAACCCAGATAGCAATCCTCCTGCTTGGCCATCTACTTTAAGCAGTCTTGGAACTGGGAGAACCTCCCCACCCGACACTAAGCGAGCCTTAGTGTTCAGGATTTAAAGGATCTATTACGTGTATGAGTTGAAGCTAGTTAGGAACGTTCTTCCATCTCTCTGGCCTCTAGATCCTGGAACTAACTGTAACTCTTAATACTAAACACCCACCGAATGTTCCCTGTGGTCACTCTCACCTCATTCGCAGAGCAACCCATGGGACAGACAGCTCATGTTGTCCCATTTTCTCATGAAGAAACTGAGGCAGAGAAGCCACGTAATTTACCCAGGGTCCCCAAAGTGGCCATGCTGCTGGGACAGGAATTGAACCTGGCACACATCTCCACCATGGTGTTCCAATTTGGAGCCTTAACAGCTGGTTAGTTGGACCTCCAGCACATTCCTCCTCCCGACCTCTTGGATGTACTTCCTTCAGATTGTACACGTATCTGTAAGTTTCTTCCATTCTGCTATAAGCTTCCTTGATGGTACTGACTCTGTCTTACTCATCTTTGCATTGCCCAAAGTGTCTGGTATAATATTGTGTACAGAATTTCTTATATAATATAAATTTAAAAGTAAAATCACATCATCTCCTTTGCATTTTCGCAGGGGAAACTTAACCCTGGGCATTTAAGGGCTGAAAGAAAATAACTGACAAGCTAAAATTCAATTTCCAGCAATTCTTCAAAAACTCAGGTGAAATAATGCAATTTATTTAGTGAGTGGGCATTTTCCAGACCATAAAAAAAAAAAACCAGAGTTTACTGCTAGAGACCTACATGGATAATTATTCTTTAGACAAAAGAAAAATGATTCCAGGTAGAAGCTGAAGCCACAGGAAGGTATGGAGAACAACAGAAAAGATCAATATGCAAACAAATCTATGGGAGTTTTGACTGCGAGACCGTAATAACTATGCCTTTTGGGGGTATTAAATGTGTAGCATTACAATTCATGACAACAAAAGCAAAAGGCAAGAGAAGGATACATAGGATTAAGGTCTAAGGCTGTCATATAACCTAAAAAATGGTAAAAAAAAAAAGTACACATTTATAACATGTCTCTTGCTGTAATCACTAGGGTATCCATTAAAAATAAAAATGTGCAACAAGCTAATAGAGAAGGAAAAATGGCATAAAAAAACCCCAATTTATTAATCCAAAAGCAAGCAAGACAGAAGGGAGAGAAAAATGGAACAAACAGAAAACAAATAAAGGATGGCAGACTTCAACCCAAATATATAATTACATTAAAAATGTAAACATACTGAATTCTCTAATTAAATGACAAAAACTGTCAGACTACATTTAAGAAACAACTTTAAATATATGGTCTAGACAGGAAACATTCTTTAAATAAAGACACAGAAAAAAATCAAAGTAAAAAGATGGAAAAAGAGATAACATACAATTTGAAATGCTGTTTTGGTTTTTTTGTTTTGCTTTGTTTTTAATAGCTTTGGCAAAATTCCAGCAATTTCCAACTATCATCCCACTGCTTTGCTACTTCTTCCAAATGCTCGTGCCCTGGAAGGGAAGAATAGATAGGATTCTGGAAGACTGGGTCAGTCTGGAGGTTGAACTTGAAAGAAGAGAGTGCTGAAAAATACACCTCATCCCTCAGATAAAGAGTCAGAATCTGGATGTGTTTAATTAAAAAATGGCTAATGGACCACCATGGTTAATAATGAACCAGCTGTTCTCGACAGAGCTAAGGAAAAGCCATACCAGGGCTAATCCTTTGAGTGGAACACAACATAGGTGCTCTCAGGCTTTTGAACAGGAAAAAACATAAACCATTTTTTAAAAAGAGTCATTTTTACACATTAAGAGTCCATTAACTCCTGGGACAAAGTCCCAAATCCCTAGCAGTATGACAAGGCACAGGAAGAACCAATCCATCATATGATAGGCATTATAAGTCCCAATTATGCCCCCTGCCTTCTGATTCTTTTGTTTGAATTAACAAATCCCAGAGATGAACTACGGACAGACAGTTACATACTGTGCAACTGATAAGAACTGGCAGCCAGAAATCCATGCTTGTGGTCTACTAAAATTATAGTTAGAACTGTATCCAGAATGCTGCTAGACAATGGTGTACATTATTAAAACATAGAAGGAGAAGCTCGGTACTGCCTTCTCAATCTCCATTATAACAATGTAAGCTAAAGAACAACAAAACAGAAAGCTATAGGATGCTTTAACACCACTATTTCTCAAAACAAAAATAAATAACAAAAAATAGATATTATTAGAATCTTTTTGTATTATAGAGGAAATAAGAGGAAGGAAAGAATTAAAACATGCAAGAGTTTGGGCCGGCCCGGTGGCGCACTGCTACAGTGCGCCGCTTGGGAAGCGCGGCAGCACTCCCGCCGAGGGTTCGGATCCCACATACAGACCGGCCGCTCACTGGCTGAGCGAGGTGCGGGAGCAACACCAAGGGTTGCGTTCCGGTGCCGGTCCTGGTCCGGTACAGGCGTGACACTGAGGGTTGCGATCCGTTGCCGGTCACGAAAAAAGATAAAAAAAAAAAAACATGCAAGAGTTTGACACTTGTTTTGGCTTTGTTTTCCTATTAATTGACCCAATGATTTTTATGTTGTGAATCCTTGATATGCATTCTCCTGTTCTTATTTGTCACTGGGCCCACCATGCGTTTGGATTAACCAAATCCTTAAGTTGCATCAATCACATGTCATCTTTCACGTAAGCATCATCAAGAAGACCTGGTGCCTTATTCTCAAGTATCATCTAAATCTTTCTTCAAGACTGCTGCTTGTCCTACCAATTCTTTCCTTAAAGCCAACACTCCAAGAAAGCACAATAATGCTTTTCCTCCAAACTCCCTTTATTCAAACTGAGCCATTTTATTTAATTAGAGGGTAAACATCACCCTTGCTTTTCCCCAAAAATCCAGCTCCTTAAAGCCTGTGATTCACTTTTAGCTGTGAATCATATTTAATAAAAATTGTTTCTCAGAAAGTCATAAGACACTGGTGTGTGCCTTTGAATGTTTACCACTTGGTCTATTAGCAAATATTTTTTCTGAAATTCTACATTTCAAAGAAGTTAGAAATATGTCAGGAACTTTAAAGACCATGTTCAAAGTCAATTAGCACCTGCAAATTTTTATCCAAACAGTTACTTGGATAAAAGATCCCCCTGCTAAGTGTTTACTCCAATAGTGAAGAAGTACTACACTGTCAGTAGAAAAAGATAAAAAGCATTTGGACTTAAGTACATGAAACTGAGTTCCCTTGATATACAAAAGTTGGTGCAGATTGATAATGAACTGAGTTGATGCAGTAAAAATAATCTCTACCTAGATCTTTTAGGTAACCAGTATGAAACACTAGAATAATAACACAGGCAGAATGGCCCTCGAAATCTTAAGTGATTTTATCAAGTCTTAGAGGCAGCATTTTCTTTATTCTGGGAACATGTTTCAAAACTTTAATCAAAGTCTATGGGAAACATGGTTCAATACCCAAATCTCTACTTAATTCACAGCCTTTCAGGGAAGTATATTACAATTTAAAAAAAGCTAAGTAAAATGAGTTACATCATGATCATAACAACTATTTGTAGAACACTTTCAATAAGTCAGGCATTTAATACATTTTATTTCTAGTCTTAATTAATCTTATAAAATAGGCTTACAAATGCCATAACAGAGGCAGAGAAAGTTGAAGTAACTTGCCCTTGGCTAGTAAATGTGAAAGCCAGGACTCAAATCTAGTGTCTGGCTCCAAAGCCAGGGCTCAGCGACTATAAATAAATCGTACTTGTGGGTCCCGGCAGTTCCTCTCTGATGTATGGAATTGAACAACCCAAGGAGGAGGATCAATCCTGTTATGACTGCTGCTAGCACCACCTGTATCCTCAGGAGGTGAGACCAAGCCTCTCTAAGCCACATCACAAAAAACACACTCTGGAGGAAGGGAGGGTATAGAGAAAAAAAACCCATAAAAACAAAAAAGAACTTCCTTCTTGGTTTGTTCATAGTGTGTTTTGCAAAACGAAACTGCAAATTGGGTAACAAGGAATAGATGTGGCTAATGACAGCACACCCATAAAAACAAAAAAGAACTTCCTTCTTGGTTTGTTCATAGCGTGTTTTGCAAAACGAAACTGCAAATTGGGTAACAAGGAATAGATGTGGCTAATGACAGCACCTACCCCAAAGACAATGATTCTCAACTACGCACATTGGAATTACCTGGATACCTTCTAAAAATACTAATTCATAGTCCTCCCCTTAGAGATTTTGATTTAACTGGTCGGCAGTGGGTTGCAAGCATCAGAATTTTTTTTTAAAGTTCCCTAGATGATTCTAATGGACAACTATTGAAAACCACCATCCTAGAAGGTAGGGATGTGTGTGTGTGTGTGTGTGTGTGTGTGCACCTTAACACCTATTATCAATTATTTTTCCTTGTTACATATACCTGAAAAAATTTGAAGCACAGGGACAAAGATTAGTGGTCAGGACACACAACCAGGGCTACTTTACCTGGGTGGTATCTTCCATCAGTCCACGAATCTTCTCCACAACATCATTGCGCCGGTGCTGGCGCAGGGCACTAATTAGCTGGGCAAGGCTGGCCTCGGGGCCCCGGATGGTCCAGTGCTGCAGGGCTGCGTAGGCCCGCTCATGGTCCGCCGTGTACCCATTGGAGAAGGCAGCCACCTCCCTCTCGCTGGCATTGCACAGAAACTGATAGATATCCTTCCACTGGCTTCCCACTTGGGCTGCTACAAGCTTCAGGATGTCAATACCTACACCAGAGGTGAAGAAAATGAAAACAAATACAGGCATGTGAAAGAAGGTCTTTATATAAGGCTATTCTACTTTAATGAACTAGAAGCAGCAAGCTGTCCCATTGCTCTACACGAAAGGAATGCACTGCCTTCCATAAGAACTTGGCACAAGCAGCCTATCCTGGAGATTAGTTAGGTACCTTTATACAAATTTCACTTTCCAAATGTGGAACCAGGAGAAGGAGCGACTATGAAAGTATGATAAATCACTCCCAAAAGATGTTTTGAAAGCCAAACCCAAACAAGGTAATAAGAATGATCTCTTTGGTACTATTTGATACAACTATAAACAAATTAGAGGCTACCAGACTAAAAAGTTGATGCTTCATGAAATTTAGAAAAAGGAAAGGCATTTATTAAAACTGCAGTGAACTTTATCCAGCGCTGTCTAGGGAAAGGATGTTCAGATTCTGGGAAAGGTGTCCCTTATGTCAACTGAAGAGATAAGCAGCTGTTCCAGCCTAATAGAGGCATTCCTTAAGAACATCTAACTTCTTGTGTTCTAATTCTTCACAAAACAAGCAATTTTCTGTTTAATTATTCAGTCTTCCAAGTTAACTTGCAAAGTTATAATGAAGACAGTAACTAAAATGACAGTATAATAATAATAGCTCTTATCTTCCAGGTATTATGTTAAGGCATTAGCTCATTGAACATCTTTATAAGGCATTACCAATCCAATTGCACAGGTAAGAAAAAAAACATAAAAACACTTACAAAAGTTAAGCTACTGGCCCAACATAACAAAGGTAGGCAGGTTTGGTATTGAATGCAACTCACTAGGTTGGCAATTTGAAATCCTACAAGTGTAACCAGTATTACATGTGTTAATACATGCTATCTTCCAGGAGGGAGAAAGTGCCTTGAGCAAATGATCAGGGCTGGTTATTCTGCCTTATATCTGCCCCCAATAATTTAATATACAGTAGTCACCCCTTATACTCACAATATGTTCCAAGACCCCCAGTGGATACACAGAACAGGTAGTACCGATCCTTATTGCCATCAACTGGAACACATTTCTGTTCATGTCTTCCACCCACAGATTTAATGCGTTTTTCATCTTAAGCATTTACCATGCACTGTGGCCCTAACTTCTGCAGTTTGAGGTGCGACAGCAAAACTAGTGTGAATTTCGTTTTCATTCTTCACAATTTCACAAATACAAGATTCGTTCTTATCATAGATCTTAGCAACTTCAGCATATGATTTTTTTTTTCCTTTCTTAAATCAAGAACTTTCACCTCTTCACTTACACAAAGCACTTTACCGGTTCTCTTTGGTATATCCAAATTGCCAGCCAGCATCACTACTCTTGTGCTTTGGGGGCATTCTTAAGTAAAATCAGGGTTGCTTGAACACAAGCACTGCACTACTGTGACAGTCGATATGATAACTGAGAGGGCTACTAGGTGACTAATGGGCAGGTAGGATCTACAGTGTGGATCTGCTGGACAGAGGAAGGATTCATGTCCCGGGAAGGATGGAGAGGACAACAGGAGATTTCACCATGTTACTCAGAATGGAGTGCAATTTAAAACTTATGAATTGTTTATTTCTGGAATTTTCCACTTAATAGTTTCAGACTGCAGTTGACCACATAACTGAAACAGCAGATAAGGGAAAGGGGGACTACTGTACACATTAGCTCTGCCAGGGGTTCATATATAACCCTCTTAGTAAGGGCTCTGGTATTTTATTGCCATCCTCTGAATCAGTATAAGGTATTTGAATGAGGCCATACTCACATGCCCTAACACCAGAGTTATTATAGTTAACAATGTCTTAAAAATATTTACTACTTAATTAAAAAAAAAAAAATGGGGTCAATTTCCCAAGTGAGGTTTAGGGAAGAAAGGAATAGAGAAGGGTAAAGAGGACTTTACTGTTAAGATTAATTGAACTTTTCAATTAACTAGAGGTTCACTAGGAGTAACACATCTTTTCTGTTTCAATCAGTTTTTGAGGAAAATATTTACAAAATGAGCTATAATCAATTTTTGCCTAAGAACAGAACAATAGTAACTGCAGAAGTTTGTCTGAACATGGAGGATTTCGTGGTTCCTCAACACAAATCCTTACTCTGACATGCAATCCTATTGAGGCAGATGATATGGAAGACTGTATACACTCCCAAATCAATCTCCTGAAAATTGTTTTCAAAAAATAAATTCCTAGTAAAAGGCTGCTTTACCACAAAAAATAAAAACTTTAAAAAGTAGAATACCATAAATTGAGACATGACCGTAGTTCTCATACTGTTTAGCCCTGCCTGTGAAATATACTTGAGCCAGCTGCTTTTCAGTTATCATAGCAATGCTTAGCCAGATACAGAGCTTTTGATTTCAAGCAGAGAGACTCCTTAAAAAGAAAAAACAAACAAAAAAACACGTCCCATTTAAAACCCCGCAGGTAACTTTCAGGAACAAGCCAGCTCTTTGTGGTTGATGTGATGGACTCTTCCAAACACCAAAAGGCTTGTTAATCCTCGAATCTTAATTTAGGTCAATTTGACTAAGGCCCACAGCATCTTACATGAAAACATGACTGGGTTTTCTTGTAAGCAGGACCATTGCTTACATCTTCATAATGCCAATGACAGTGTGGCTTTGGGCAAACCACTAACAGCCACGTCTATTTCCTCACTGTACAATGGAGATACTCACTATGGTCCCTGGGGATGAGCTGATTAACATTTTTCTATAGAGTTAATTTATTTTTGGAAGTACCCCCATCATTATAAATGTTCCACATAATGAGCACTACAACTGAAAGCTCAATGTATTACAGATGCACATGCACAGCCTTTATAGAGTAATTACAGAGTTTAAAAGGTTTAAGTTTAACAACAGCTCCTTCCTCCACAACACAGTATTTATACTTTTTTTTGAAGTCACAAAATAAAGAAAAAGAGAAGAAAAAAAACACACAAAGAATGGATACAATGAGATTTCCCTTCAACTAAAATTGACTGGAAGCTAAATATAAGTCCAACAAATAGGATTTCATCTTGTTCTCGTACTCAACTAGACTTGCCTCCTATGAAAACATGGAGTCAAAACATGCACTGATCTGGGTCCACAGTGTTCCTCACCACCAACCCCTCCCATTCTGGAGGTGATAAATCAAAAATGGAGTTGATTAGTCAAAGATGAAAGGCTGGTATCTCCTGGCTCCCTCAGGAGACACCAGCCTTTCAGCCCAGCACATTAAAACAAAACCCCAGCAGAAGAGCAGTCTGAACTGGCCCAAAAGTTTGTTGCATCTTGCCTCTACCCTCAGCATCACCATCAAAGGGAAAAGAAAAGTCTGTGGAATATTTCAAGAGTATTAATTGAGCAGCTACTGTGTTTTAGGCTGTGTTTGCTGCACTAAGACCCTTATAAAATTTTAAGACAGAAAGAACTTACCTCCAAGAAAATGAAACAACACCAATGAAACACAAAATTTGTCAGGCTTTGAAAACGTTCTTTGTTTAGAAACAAGTGTTAGGCAAAACAAAACAATACAACTATAGAGAACAGCAGTAGGATGAGTCAACAAATTAAGATAGTTACTTCTGGGGGGAAGGACAGGAAGGTGCACAGAAGAGACTTCAAAGGTCTTCACAAGGTTCTATTTCCTAAGCTGGATGGTAGAGAAAAGGGTCTTCTTTTTAGTTCATCACTTTGATATTTATTTTATGATTACTCTTTAAATTTTATAATATATACATATTATACACACATATATAAGACGTGCTTATATAAACTTTATAAACACTTACTACTTTCAAGTGTTTAATTTCATCAATAAAAGTAAAGAGAGGTTGGTGACCAGTGTGAGGTGCCTTTATTGTGATTAACAGGGAATGTGGTGTGGTAGAGGAGCATATTCCACACTGGAATTATGCTCCTTGGGCATGGCCTTCCAGTCTGGGAATGAGTGCTCTCGAGGCTGGCCACAGTGTGGGGGAGTCTTTCTGGTCTCTCGTTATTGACCAAGTAGAGGCTGGGACAGTTTTCTCTGGGGCTAGCAGTGTATTTCTTTTCTTTAAAACTGTGGTAGCCTTAAAAAAAAAGGAGAGGACAACAAACTTTTCTACAATGGCGATAGTAAATATTTCTGGCTTTGAGGACAAAGCAGTCTGTCATAACTCTTCAACTCTGTTGTAATGTGAAAACAGCCATCGACAATACAAATAGGTGTGGCTGTGTTCTAATGAAACTTGATTTTAAAAACAGGTAGTGTGCTGGACATGGCCCATGGGCTGTATGTAGTTCACCAACACTTGCAATTAATAGCAGTTTAAAAAGAACATAGCTAAACTGCCAAACAGCATAAAGATTTAGAAAAGCATTTTGTTAAAAGAAAAAAAAAAATCACACCCAAAAGACAACGGAAATGAAAATTCACATCCCAATTATTAACCTCAACGTGAGTTTATAGTAGGTGAAATAAAGACCACCTCTCTGCTCGGCAGGGTACCATGGTCATCTGAGAGTTTTCATTAAGACTGGAGACAGTCATTATGTGCTGAGTTGATCTGACTTGTTTAACTGAAAGTGGTGCCCAGTCTCCTTTTCCTTGTTGAAAAGTAACACAACTCTCAACCTACTGAAAGGCTGATAGACGGAGGCATGCAACTTATTAAAATTGCTTTTTCCTGTAATGCCACATCCTGGAGCTCTGGGGAATAGCTGGAGTTTCTAAAGAAGTCATCAAAAGAGTCAAGCCCAATAAACCAGAGGCTTAACTAGTCAGGAGCTACCTAAGAGGGTGGCCTTGGCCCCTGGAGACAAGCATGAGAATTGTAAGGATCAGGTAGCGGGAAGATCATGGGCTTGGCACTCACAGGATACAGTTTCAAACTCTAGCTCCATGACTTATTAGTTGCGTGATCCTGGGCAAATGACAACCTCTAAGATTTCAGTGTCCACATAAGTAAAATGGAAATACCACCTCTCATTTGGTAGGGT